GCCACTCACTGTTTCCATAATCTATGTACTGCACCTCAACACAAAGATTATTCTCCAGAGTTGGAACAGTGTTGGGATGTGCAGGAGAATATGCCATCTTGATGCGAGCTCTGTACCACTGATTATCAGTTGTAAATTGAGCACAACACATGTCACCTGACAACAGCAAAAACAAAAACATCAGTAGGGAAAGGAACAATTTTGAAGTATCTACTTTTCCAAAAATTTTCAAGGCAGCAGCAGCAGCAGCTTTCTGCACTGACTTTTGTTATTGAAGGAGCAAAAAATATCAACATACCAAACTTGACATCATATAGAAGATCATGAACATTCTCTGTGCTGTCGCAATAGATGTTGATGACATTCATCATGATCTGGAGTTGTTCAAGGTCAGCAACTCTTTGAATCATAAACTGACAAGGATCTCTGATATGCGTTACAAGAACAAGTTCATGACGATCTAAACAACAACACCATTTTTCAGATAGTTATGTGGTTGTATTAAAATTGACAATTGTAACTTTACTGCATCATTCCATTCCTAAATTGTACACACCAGTCTAAAGTCACTAGTTACAAAGAGCGGAGAAACTCTCAGGAAAGAGCAATCTAATTTCTCCTCACAATAACACCCCTGAATCACATATTAACGTCATGAGAATAAAGGAAATGATCACCAATTAACAAAGCTCTTAATTGTTAAACAAATTTTCCTATTCAGCACCTTGGGAAATGCATAGAGAGCAGTATGGAAATATTCATACTACTGTTAGGACATAAAAGGTTATAACACCTACACTAGAAGCTGCCCTTACATGCAAGATTTGATTTAAGTATCCTGGACACTGTGATTGATCCTGGTGTTCTCTGATGCTGCATTCTTTGATCAGACAACTGATTATCTGCAGTGTCTTCTTGTTCTTCTTGAGCATTAACAAGCTCCTGTTCTGAGTCATCACTCTCTACTCCCAAGTATTCCTCATTCATTTCACTCAATTTTTTCATCTCAAATCTGATAATAAATGTTTGACAGAGCAGATAAAAATATGAAATAAATTGTATATGGAGAGATTGTCTGAAACAATTTGATGATGTGTTACCTTAGTGTTTTTCAGGTAAATCACATCATTTTTGAGAGTTTTTTCAATTTCTACTTCTAAAAGTTTCCTGTTGGTTGGTGTACGTACCATTTAACCCTTTAACTCCCAGATCAAATTTGTTATTCTCCTTACTGTCCACCATACAATTCTTACAATGTTAGTTCAGAGAATTTAGTATTGGATCAACTAATTATCCTCAAATTGATATTTTTCTTTATTATCATCACTAATCTGGTTGATATTGTATTGATACTGTAAGGAGAAATTCTGTCTTGGTCACTCAAGGGAGTTAAAGGATTAAAGGGAATACAAAAATGGTCTTGTTTATTGAAATAACCAAAAGCAAATGATTAATGTTCTCACCTTGCACAACCATCTGTGGAAACAGAACCATATTCAGTAATTGTCTCCCTCATCTCTCCTCTAGTTTCAAACCTAAACACAAATAAACTCCATTAAGCCTTCCATGACACATGCCCTATGGAGCACTGTATCATTAAACAAATGTAATAACTGTAGACACAACTGTTGTATAGTTAACTTAACACTGTAATGCAGCTTACCTTATTTGATCTTCATGGGATATCACTTTTACTGCACAGCACTGCATCTCTTTAACACATTCCAACTCTCTTCTTAACTAAATATGACAAAATATATTTTTTGGTTGAGAGATAGACTGATAATTCACATCCTGTAATGCTTCAACACAAACAGGTACATTAGTACAGGGCGTGAAATTGTGCCTAATACAGGTGCCAATGTGACTAAATTTTTCACTTCGATGACCAAATCCTGAAAATTAGTCACAAAATTGGCAACTAGAATGTTTCATCAGACCTTACCAAGAGATATTAGTGAATTACAAAGATTTGCAAAGATAAATCGGCGGCAAACTTCCTCGTTAGGTTTGTTTCCAAAACGCAGCACATGCCTCACGATTGATAACTAGATGCCATCTTGGATTTAAGTGAGCTTGAATGCTGTATATCTCTTTGTGGCTTGTTAAAGATCTTTTCCCTCACTTAATTTCGGAGGGAACACTGACAACGTAAAAAAAGGGTTTGTTTGTCTTTGAAAATGGCAACAAACTTTTTTTTAATTGGCTACCACTTTGAAGAATTTAGGAGCCAAGTGGCTATCAGAAAAAAAATTAATTTCATGCCCTGTGGTAACTTTAACAGCTAACAAGTAGACAAAAGTGATGTAAATGCATTAAATAAATAATAACTACAATTAATAATATATATATTTTATCAGAATTGAATCATGTGCCAGAGTGCATAAAACTGACCTTTTTAGCATTGTCAATTAATGTCTGTGGTTGTCCAATCATACTTTCCACTTCTGGAAACATAATTAATATAAATAGCAATATTTAAAAATAGCGGAGAACTCACCTGTTTACTGCAATGTAGCTTGTGTTAGTCAAAAATATTATCTCACTTTGGTCTATGGTGCAGCTGGATATCACAAGCTAACATTCTTGAGGTTAAAAACCTCACTCAATTCTTGATAAGATTGCTTTTCATTGAGTTTTACAAACACAAAACCAACTGAAGATAAACACACCAGACTATCTCTTACCATGAACATAATCTTTTGCTTTCCGCAAATTGTCAGCAACCTCTTCCCGCTGTTTTAGAATATTAGTTAAAAAAAAAGTCATAAAGTTTGATAAATTCAATAAGAGTTGCTCTCCTATGAGATAAATACTGCAAACTAAATTTTGTTTTGACTTGAAACATGGTTCTACTTAACTCGTTAGTTTATACAATACCCAAAAAAATTTGCACAGCACATTCAAAATTTAATTATGCTTAAAAAAGCACACTTCTTACTTTTCACTGGAGAGAGGGGATGGTTGGGTGAGTGAAAACCTAAGCAGCAAGAGAGAGCCCACTTAAGCCAAGGAAGCTTTAAATATGACAAAAATACTAGTGACTACAACACTAAACAACTATTATACCATTTTCTCTAGAATCTTCTCCCCATTGTGATTTAGTTCAACCTCTTTGATCAGAGATTGCTCTCTGCAAAAGAACATGTGCTTGGTGTTAGGAGACATAAAAAGCAGGGTGCTAACTCAACTCTTAAAATTTGACCCTATTTTTGCAAGTTTGTTCTACTCTACAAGCTGTGTCAATCTTCCCCTTTATAAGCAAGTTCTTTACACCATTATATCATTATGCAAGTTCTCCATAATGTTGTCTATCACTTCCTATGGTACTTAAAGGAGAATTTGCCCAACAATCAAGAGCTTTATGATCATATCCTTTATTCTCACGATCTCAATGTTTGATTCAGAGGTGATACTGTTGGGAGAAGTTAGATGCTTATCACTCTTGTGGGTTAAAGGGTTAGTCAGTTATGCCAAAGATTCCTGGCAACTCTAAGCAATGACTCAGCCATTTACAAAATGGGTGCACTTGACTCCACAACGGACAACACTTTGTAACCTGTAGTGATAATGCTAGTGTACCTGGTCTGTAAAGCAGAATATAACATCTGAAAGTGCTCCCTGATATTATTCACGATTTCATTCTTTTCAGCCTTAACTCCTGGAAGTGCTTTACAAATTACCTGTAAGCAAAGGAATAACAACATAAAACTGGATTATACCTAACTCGTTTATTAAACTCCATAAAATATTATAGATTGTCAGAGTTCACACTGTTTTACTTCCAAGACCTTTTCCAGGAAATTTTTGAACTTTTTCAGGACCATAGATCAATAATTTGCTTTCAAATAACCTCAAACAATAAATCAGTGAAGTATTTCTTATTCTTTTATCAAACAAAAAATTGTGGATCATTTTCCGTGACTTTCCATATTCCAAGGAATTCCAAGTCTTGAAAATGATATCACAAAATTATACAACATTCCAGGCCCAGAAATAATGTGATGAAATAAAAAGATTTTCCAGGCCTGTAAAACAAACTTGTGAAATTTATGGATTTCCAGGACTGAAAAATGACAGGGTAATCAAAAGATTTCATAACATTCCAAGACTGGAAAACTTTATCCTAAAAGTCAGTGTCTTTGCTGGTTATTTTATTTGTTACTTTTCACGCATAACAAACCTGAATGGACTTGTCTAGACATTTGATTACTGGAGATACTTCATCAACTGATGTCTTGAATTGATCTTCAACTTCTTTAGCCTTTAATCAAACAAAAAATGTCTCATTTCACGCATTCAAAACTAAGTTAACTATACCAAGTTAAGGTCTTTTTTGAAACTCAAAATTATGTAAAAATTACATGAGTTTAACCAAACTCACAGATTGAAAAAAAAAGATTTACTCACAATTTCATCTATGGGTGCAATAGCATGTGTTTGTCTCTCTCCAGTAACTACACAGTGTGAACAGACAGGCTGACAATCATCCTTGTCGTAAAACTCCAGAGGTCTGTTATTGTGATCAGGGCACCCAACAGCTGTTTCAGTGCTGAGATTTATCACAAACAAAACCATCAATATGAACAAATCAAGGCCCCTAGCATTCATGATCACTGTTTTATTAAAAAAAATAATGAGCAATTCCTTACTTTTTTTTTGCAACAGGTAAGGGAACATGTTTCCTCAAAGCAACTGAATATGAATGCACCTAGGAAAAAAAAAAACATACATGATTCCTAATCACTCAATCCTTCCAGGGAAATAGAAAGGAGTACATTTCAGTTATCAGGGGTTCAAGTTATGGCTCAAGGTGTACTGAGTTTTCCCAATAGGTCAATGACCTGTTGAACTGTATGTTTATGCTTTCCCTAACATCAGTATCCATATTCTCTAAACTTATCTCTATACATTGCCTTTGGTACTGACAAGGAGAATTTGTATAACAATCAAAGCTTCTCTAGTCGGTGATCATTTCCTGTTATTCTCATGATCTTAATGAATGATTCAGCAGTATTATTGTAAGGAGAAATCAGATGTTGGTCACTCTCTGGTCACTCTCAAGGTTTGAAGGGTTATTGAGCTGTTCAAGCAAAAGAAAGAAGTTTAGAACTTCAGATTACGCCTGGGTGTGCCTGACATTTTGAAGATCTGAACCAATCATGTATTTGTTAAATTATGCTTGCTGTATGAAGTGACTCAACCCTGTGGATCAGACCCTGCTATGATACCATCGAGGAGAAAGCTGTTTAGCAGTAGCTTTTGACGCATCCTTTGCTTTCTCAGTGATCTTCCAATTGAAATCCCACTTAATGCTTTCTCATTTAATGACTTTCTTAAGCTAAGCTAGGGAGTGGAGGATGTGTGCTCAGATGAAGACAAGAACAATAGACATACTCTCTCAAAACAAGCACGACAGTAAACTGTTTCACACTTGCTGCAACTGCTAGTGGCTGTTGCTCTGGTGCACTCTTCACATTGTACACCTAGGAAAGAAAGAAAAAAAGAGAATGATACAAACAAGGTACAAATCCAGAAAACTGACTGGGAGGGGGGGCTAAAATTACACTACTTTTCCTACAATTCAAGCCCCCCCACCCCCCACCCCCCCCATAAAACTTTGCTATACATTCTTCCAAATCTGTGCCAATTTAATTCCACAAGAAAAAGAAATATTGACATTCTCCATCATATATACTAAAGTATATACATACATTCTATGGTGCAAAACAGGATTGTAAAAAGTATACGATAGCCTTTATTGAATAAAATATTTTAACTCCTGCACAGTCATGACAGGTTTACAGACTAGTGTAATTCCCTTGTTCAATACACTTGTACATACTGTACAATTTATCTTTCCTTTGCAAGACCCTCCTGACACTTTCGTCTTATTTATTTTACAGTACCACTCAAAAGTAAGTTGACAGTCCCTCAATCCTGGATTCTTGACCCTCAATACTTGATAACTTTGAGAATTGAGACTCAAGTTGAGTTTTAAGACATTTGAGTTGAGTATCAAGGGTTTGGAAACTCGGTTCAAGACCCTTGAAGTTGGGAAACAAAGGTACACTACTCACCAGTGTCAAGTTTCATTAGTTCAGCTTTCTTTTCACGGGTAAACTGATTAATTGCTCTTTGCAAACCAGCTTTAGTCCCAAGCTTTGAGCGACCTGGCTTTTGAACATCACTACAACCAAAAAAAACAAAAAAAAAACACATTAAAGATCAGAAATTGAATGACAGTTTCACAATCACATCTAACTATGCATTCAAACATTTCAACTGAAACCTCTCTAAACTTATCAAGTCTGCACATCTCATATGCGTATTCACAGGTTTTGAAATATAATTCAAGTTTGAACAAAAAAAATTGTTTACCCAAAATTACAGCTCAAATTGTACTCTAAATAAATTTGCAAAAGGAAAAAGTATGAAATTCTGCTGATCAGTGTGTAACCAAGAGTTGGTAGTAAATAAAAAGTTATAGACAACATGCATGGACTTTGTATGACCAGAAAGCAGTGCTAATGTATACACTTACGTGCGGTAAGAAGCTCTTTTGGAGTTGGTCATCACTCCTAACAGGAAGATGTTGGGGGGAATGGCCCTTACGCCCTTCTCTCCTTCAATTGTAAGTGGGGTGGGGTGATGACAATCTGAACATGACACCTCCGTCTTTTGTAGCCTGGCCCATTTAGTCACACACCCCTCGCAAAAGGTGTGGCCACATTCCAAAAGTAAGGGGATGCGATTTCCAATTGGCTTGGTCACATCTGAAGAATGAATTTGTAATATTATCTTTATGTTAATCATTCAAGAAAATTTTCAATCATGTACTGATCATTTGTCTAGAAAAAATGCATTGTTTACAAAACAAAAAGAGAGAGCTTTCATTTTTGCCACAGATTATCATTCAAATGTCTCTGTGTATCCTCTTAAAACTTTTACAAGAACGTACTGACATCAATGATTGCCTATTCTGTAAGTCAGCTGGCATCCACAAAGTGACAGCACTAAACAGTGATCCCAGTTCCACCCTTCCCCTTGGATTCCAAATTCACCCCTCTCCCCTTCAATTCCAACTTGCACGCGAAGCAACACATTTTACTCTATAGAGGCGATCAAGCCACAGTTAAACAAGTCCGCAATTTAAAAAAAAAACTAAAAAATAACACTAATGAAAATGGTTTTACGCTTTTGCATTGTCTAAGTGAAAGTCTGACAAGCTGCAAAGGATGAGCTGAAGAAAATATCAAGCTTACGTGTATCTTGTACTACAGCAGACACAACAGAATTTATATTTGTCGAAATAACAACATTTTCGGCTTTCAAATGGGTATCCATGTAATTTCAGCTTGTGACCCATTAACTGACTGGATATCAGGATGTTTCTGAGGTCGATCACAGCTGATGCACGCTTGGAAATTCTTCGCATGGCTCATTGTCTACATGTGAAACTGTTTGTAAATTATCACAAAAAGACGTATATAGAATGTGTAATAGCTACCTTTAAAGCCGTAACTTTTGCAGCAATTCTTGCAAGTCGGTGTACGCTGCATAATAGAAGCGAGGAAAATAATTAAGAAAAAGTATCCTTAGATCTTCCGTTCCGGTTGCAAGGCCACAAACCATCAAAACACATGTTTTGATCGTCACCTCCGACAACTTCCAAATTAGGACATACCGAACACATGTGTATCCACGGCAATACCCAAATATGGATTTGAGATTTGTGGCGGGAAAGAGGAAGTTACATTTGCGCGCAGGAGACAAGTTGTGAATGTTGATCACTCGTTCTCTTCCACAGTTTTGTTTGTTTCACATTTGAGCTTTTTCTGTGTTTCTGAGCCCAAGTATTCAACCCACGATGAAATTCGATACTCCAGAAATCGCCTGGCATGGAAAAGAACCAATTCTGAGTGTTGATTTTAGCAAAGTGGGATCAAAATGGCGACTTGCATCCGCGGGCGCAGATAACGATGTAAAGGTAAGCTCAGCGTGGATTTATGATCAAAAATTGTTGCAGTGAAACTATTCCTGACCTTCATCCTGTTTCTTTCCAGTTTATCCTAAGTTAGCTATTTCATTCATTTCTTTTACCTTCAAATGCAGATCTGGTCTATCGTTTGCAGTGATAGTCAAAAGACAGCTATCGACTTTTTAGCAAATTTGAGTCGCCACACAAAAGCTGTAAACGTGGTGAAGTTTTCTCCCAAAGGTAAGCTTAAATTTCGCGAGCTACTACTTCGATCTGCTGTTTTGTCCCCTCGAAGCGTTCTGGGCACCGATTTACGAGCATCTAATGAGAGCATCCCACGTTTTTTCTACCGCAGTTTACATATATGATTTTCATATATTTACAGTCATTTCTTCACCACTTGGAGGGTTTATTTGGAACCAACATAATAACCAGCTCCTAGTTGGCTTGTTAGCTTAGTTGATAAAGCGCTGCGCCGGTAACGTAGAGGTCATGGGTTCAAATCCCGGGCCTGATTTTTTTCAGGCCTTACTTTCACAACTACTTAAGTAGTGTTCATAATTGCGAGGATCGCTTCCATATTAGTTAGCATCTCATATCTTAATTCATGGGTCTTTGCACCTGTAACTGACCTCTCTGTCTCGACTGGTGATTAAGGAGAGATCATATGTTAATCACCAATTTGTTTTCAAGCAATAGAGGACTTTTTCCGCATCGACATTGCCGAAACACGATGGGAATCGAGAAAGTTATGCAAACCTGCAACACATAACTTACATGTTGCCTATCATTAATTTTTTTTGTTATATTTCTACACGCAGATGAGATTCTTGCATCAGGAGGAGATGGTAAGTTTGAAAAGAAGAAAACTGTTAAAAAACAAAAAAACAAGGGTTCTTTTGCCAATAAATACTGGTACCTTCCCCATGGAGGACTAAAATGTAATCTCTTGAAGGAGAAAGTCTGAAGTGATGAATAATCATTTAGAAGAAGTCTTGATCAGATATAGCAATGAATTTTCTCAAGCAGAATAAAGGTAGTTTTAAATATGGATGATCATGATTTCTTTTACACAAATAGCATCTTTAAGCTTTTCTCATGGTATTAATGGTGTCCTCCCTTCTTCTTTAAAATCTACTTAATTATTTTGTTTCTTGACAGACTCCATGATTATTCTATGGAAGCTCAATAACTCAG